ATACGACAAATTTTTTCCAACTTCTCTACATGCAAAAGGATTTCAAATAAATATTTTTCTCATAATATTGTAAAACAAAAGTTGCTTATTATGTCACTAGCCATAACTTTCTTTATCAATATAGTTGGGGGCAAGTGGCTTACTACATTAGCTTTTAATCTAATCTTGGTTGTCACGATACATGGTTGCCATAGTCAATGCTCGAAGTGACTAGTGATAAGGGCATATAGGCAAGCCAAAGTTGATTTTAATCAAATGAATACTAATTGTCCCTTTCTTGATAGTTGACTAATTCTTTTTCTTTGTTATTAAAGATGTAATATTAAATATTTTGAGGGGTGGGGTCCCTTTTTAGGTTAATTGATTTTGATACATTAACAAATAATTAATTGTTGATATTAATTAATTGGTTGATTAATCTTTTGCTACACATTAACATCTAATTAATTGTTGATATAAAGTAATTGGTTGATTTATCTTTTTTCTACAAGTCTATTGTTGCATTCTTAGGTTATGATTATGTCAACACTCCCAATAATTATTTTATATTTTTTAGTGCACGATATATAAATTGGTGTAATTAAAAAAATTGTAAATTTTTTTTTTTTACTTAAATACAATTTAATTTCCTTTATCAAGCATGTTATTATAATTTTTCACAGGACAATAATAAATCCCAATTTTAAACTTTTAAACTATCTATTTTACTAGCTCAATCCCAAATGTCCAATAAACTTCATTTACTAATTATGAATCCAACAAGACAATAAGCAGCCCAAAATTCAAATAATTGAAGTGAAGAGCAAAAAACTTAACCCCAAGATCCCTTATTCACGAGTCACGACATGTAAAAAAAATAAACAAATATTTAAATGTCATATTTTTGCAATGAAATAATATTATTGGAATATATTTTTTAATTACATGAAAGATGCATTATTTAAAATTAATGTCACACTGGACAACCAAAATCTAGGATCAGCCCTAATAAGAGGCCATCGCAACCTTGCCGTAAGAGTAAACGAATCCAATCAACGAATACAAAAGGAACGCAATGGCGACAAATTGCAGAAACTAAACGTAGTTGGGAGTCTCCTCGCGGAAAATCTGAATCTTGGAGAAGATGATTCATCACCTGTGGTTACAAAAGCACATATTATTCGTAAGCACAAGTGCAACATAAAACCCTCAACGCCCATTACATTCAACCCAAAGATAAAATCAAATGAAAATTGTAGAATCGAGAATATTACAGATTTTACACTTACGTGATAATTAAATATTCTAATTAAAGTAATGAAGCAAATGAAAACAAAATTATCAAGTCTACATCTGCATCTTCACGAGTCATGTCGTCGATTCGTTCCAACCCTACATCTCATTATGATATGATAATAAATTTTATCAGTAGATGTAAGAGAAGAATACCGTCGATTAATTACTCAGTCAAATGAAATATAAAAATAAAATTTTATTGCATATGGACTTCAACTACCAAATGTGCTACAATTTTCTATGCAGCCTGGAACCCTCTGTGTGAAAAAGAATTTGTGCATGCCTTGAGGGACAGGGACACACACACAGACGGAAGACCTCTCTGGATTTAATCCAAAAGGTAAGACTTTGTGTGTATTGAAGTGTAGAACGAGTCATTTATATTTTGCAGGTTTTTCTCAAGACTTGAAAAGTGAAGAGAAGAAGACAGGCCGATTTCGTAGACAAGTAGTACGTCATGTTGTAGGTGTGGAAATAGTTATAAATAATATAAAATTCCTCTCAAGTATGTGATATGATAGGGTGGAAGTAGACATAAATAATGCAAAATTCCACTTCAAAACCCTATTTCCTGGTTGTTTCCCAGTCAGTCAGACTAAGACCAGGAATTCTATTTAGATTAATTAGAGGAATGGAAAAAATAGGGGTGCCTAAGAGAGAAGAAGTATAATCGATAATATAATGTATACAAAATTATGAAAGAAATATAAGACGAAAATTCTTAAAGTAAAGAAAAAAAAAAAGATTGATAATATAATGCATACAAAGGCGGTGATATGGCAAAGTTATGTAGTTGACGGCCATGTCCGAGTAATTGAATTTGCTAGATTAAAATAGGAGTGCTAAGTGGGGAGAGTCGAACCAACTCCCTCGAAGTAACTTGGGCTCAACTTGCCCCCACTAGCTTGTCCCCAAGGGGCAAGCCAGGCCGACTCATTGGTTTTAGATTGTTTTATTTTATTTTATTTTATTTTTCCAAAAATTGCAATTTCACTACATCAAAGTATACGTAAATTTGTAAAAAATGTGTAAACGTAGAAATTTATATTTAAAAAATGTGCAAGCCACGCATGCAGACTTTTACTTAGGCTGGTCTAGACCCGCTAACGACCCCAGAATACTCTCGACTCATGAGTTAATAAGTGAATCGACGAGTGGCTCATTTTGGGGAACCATTGCTCGGCTCGCTAGTGGGTTAACGAGACAAGCTTATAATTTAAGAAACGAATTTCGTTGAAATAGTCACAGTCAAGAGTCATAAAATATTATTGAGTATGTCAATATGAGTTTCATATATCAATAGGAAGTTAGCGACGTCTAGACTCAAGATTTGTAAATGTGTTTCAATTAATCAAACTGTAAATTTCTTATCAGTATTCCCAATTTTGTAATTATAATCTATATATATATATATAATTTTTTTTAATACATACAGAATATATGTGTATTTTACTCCTTAAAATTTTTCACTCGAAACAAACATTTTGAGTTTGACAATTGAACTATTATACTTATTTATTGGTATACATCGTGGAGTAATTTTAATAATTTATTATGTTATATAATAGATTACATGTCTTAATTTTAAGTTCAATGTATTGACTTGTTTAATTTTCACTATTTATTGTCAATAATTTTCCCCAGTAATCTATTACATTTTCTTAGTGGGGCCAACAAGAAAATTTCCAAAGGTTTTTCTGAACCTAAGCCTAATCAATGGTATTGAGTTAAATCTATAGGTACATTGAATCACACATATATTTAAGTTCATTACTTAGTTTCTAAAATCATATTTTTAGTAGATTTTGATAAAGTTAATGAAACATGTGGTTGAAAAGTTGTGGGTCTCATGAAATATGTGGTTAGAATTAAATGTTGACTTTAACTAGATATTTTTATCAGATATTAATCTATACCAAACAGTGGCTTAATCCCACACGTCAATAGAAAGTCACAATATCCCGATACCCTCAAGACTTCTACATGTGTTTCAATTAAAAAGAGTGAGCAAAGAAAAAAAAACAGAACAAGCTCGATATGGTAATCTCATTTTGGGTTAAATCTGAATCGACTATTCTGATTCTCATTCTCCCCAACCAAATACCCCCTCCGTTAATGGACTATTTTTATTTTTTATTCATTAGCAATGACACGTTCGAAGAGAGTTATTTATTGGGTGTAATTTTTTATGGATACTTCACTGATTTAATACTTTATCTATATTTATGGATTACATTTTCTAATTTTTAATTCATTACATTGACTTGTTTAATTTTCACTAGCAATAATTTTCTTCCAGTAAAATGAGCTTTTACGTCGGCATATCTTTTATTACACTTTCTTAATGGGACCAACAAGGAAATACCGGTAGATTTTATGTTTTAAAAGTAAACCTAAGGCCAGTCTAAAATGAAATATAGGAATCTACTAACTGTTCAAGTCTGGTTAATTTGATTTTCAAATAGGATGTTTAAATGCTTAAGGCGTGTTTGGCACGTAACATTAAATCAAATAGAATGTGATTAAAGAAAACAGATGTACATTCATTTTTATATCAAACATGCCCTATGACATATTTAGAATGTTGAATTGAACAATAATAAACATGATGACCGTTCGGAAGTGCTTATATGCACTAAATGAGAGAAAGATACTTCGTACTATATGTCTATCGGTATAAATAAACAAGAAATAGCAATGGACGATCTCCAACCCATTGCCCAAATCATATTCTACTATCCAATCTTTGAAATGGACATTTTGGTTCCAACATAGCCTTTCAAATTAGATGTACCTGAAAGAACAATTTCATTATTTACGAATGAATGTAAATATGAAAATCTCATATCATCTTAGTGTTATTTAAATGGAAAATTTCAATTACAATCTAACACTCAACTAAATTATTCCCCTTGTATAAGGGTTTAGGATTTAAGGGAATAACTGGCAGTGACCATATACTGACAACACTTGTATGGTTATATTTTTCTTTGTTTTTTGCCGATTGCCAGTGAAGAAAGAATTGTTCACAAAACAATTACAGTGCTGCGTTGGTAGCACCTATGTTGATGATTTTTCTTTTTTTTTTCTAACTGTCCAATCAGACAACGACACGTGTATTATGTGAAAAAATTCTGTTAAACTCTCTTGTATGTGTAGCATGGTTCATGAAGAAAAGCCATTTATGATTTATCCCCTAAGAGCCCGACAACTTTTCTTGTACTTGTAGCATTAGTCCCAAATCCAAGGGGCCGAGGTGCATCCACCTCGACCCTTGATTTGAATTCATGTGGGGCTTTTTTTTTCAAATCAAGATTCTAGTCGGTCAGTGACCCCGGCCAACCAACATTAATGCAAATGTATACCCTCAGACTTCCGGTTACGTATTTGAGCAAGCAAGTATTTAACACTGAAATTAATATTATCAAATGTGCGCGAAATGTGAACTAGTCAAAATTCGTTTTCAGTTCTGGCCAGTCACTTGGCCAAGACAGAATTAAAATTATTTTGCTGGAAGCTACGAATAATATCAAACTGGGTCAGTCAAACCACCGTTCAAAGTCAATTGCCACCATCCCAAAACTGTGAACTGTGCTTTCTTCAATCTTCCCTCCTCTTTATTTAAACTCCAAATTCCTTTTATCTTTCTGTCAGCAGACAAAAACATTTGACAAGACAAACCCCCATACAGTTTTTCTTCAGTTTCTGGTTAAGGAAAGAAGCAAATGGCATTAATTGAAACGCCAAGAAGAGAATCAACAACCCCTATTACTCCCCGAAAAGCAATGGCAACCCTCTTCTCTTTCTCAAAAACGAACTCAGCCATATCTTCCTTCTCCAGTCAATTTGCCCCTCCAACGCCGTCCCACACTTTTTCCGAGTCGATGATGGAAGAAGACATTGAAAACGTAGAATCCATTATCACAAAATGGGATTTGAGAAGCAATTCGTTCGAGAAATTCACCTCGCTCTTTCAAGAAAGCAGAAAGGAGGCCAAAGAATTCATCAAGAGTGTCAAGGACCTACGCAGGGCTATGCATTTTCTGATTTCCCAACATTCAACGTCCAATAAGCTAGTCATGGCACAGAAGTTGATGCAAATCGCCATGCATCGGCTCGAGAAAGAATTCTATCAAATTCTGTCAGCAAATAAAGAACATTTGAATCCCAAATCAATATCTAGCCGATCATTGCATCTATCACGATCACTTTCGAGTAACTCGGACGACGAAGGTGATGTCAGAGTCAACGAAATTCAGGTGGCCAGTGATTCGATATCCGAGGTGGAAAGCCTCTCCGCACTTGCTATGTCTGACTTAAAGCTGATTGCTGATAGCATGATCAGCTCTGGTTATGGCAAAGAATGCATCAACATATACAGAAACATCAGAAAGTCAATTGTGGATGAAGCACTATATCGTCTCGGCCTCGAACGTTTCACTACATCCCAGATCAACAGGATGAATCCCGAGGCTCTTGAGCATCATGTCAGTAAATGGATTGATGCCGCAAAGATTGCAGTGAGAACCCTCTTCCACGGCGAGAGATTTCTGTGTGACCATGTATTTACTGCAAATGAAACAATAAGAGAATCGTGTTTTTCTGGTATAACAAGAGATGGAGCTACTAACCTGTTCAGATTCCCGGAACTTGTTGCGAAGAGCAAGAGATGGCCGGAAAAAGTTTTCCACCTGATGAACCTGTACGAGACAATATCGGATATCTGGCCAGAAATCGAGTCAATCTTCACGTATGAATCCCTCTCGGCAGTCAAACTACAAGCTTTTTCTTCTCTCCACAAACTCGACGATTCAATTCAAACGATTCTCTCTGAGTTTGAGTCTTCAATTCAAAGGAATTCATCAAGAGCCCTGGTTCCAGGAGGTGCAATTCATCCATTGACCAATTCAGTGATGAATTATGTGTCTTTGCTAGCCAACTACAGTGGAGTACTCTCCGATATTATTGCTGATTCAGGAACTCTACCGCATTCACCTTTCCCAGAGTCATATTTTCATAGTCCGAGCCTGGAGGAGACTCCAACCTCGGCTGTCTCTGCTCGACTGGCCTGGATCATTCTGGTGCTTCTATGCAAACTTGACAGTAAAGCTGAACTCTACAATAACATCGCCTTATCATATCTCTTCTTAGCTAACAATCTCCAATTTGTCGTTGAGAAGGTCCGCACCACAACACTCAAGTTCCTCCTCGGGGACGACTGGTTATCAAAGCTAGATAGAAAGGTCAAACTATATGCAGCAAACTATGAAACACTGGCTTGGAATAAGGTGTTCTTGTGCCTACCAGAGAATTTACCTCAAGAAATGTCACCTGACACCATTAAGGAGCATTTTAGGCAATTGAACTCAGCCTTTGATGAGGCCTATCGAAGACAAGCTTCCTGGGTGGTTCCGGATTCAAAGCTTAGGGATGAGATTAAAGTGTCCATAGCAAGAAAACTAGTGCCGGCATATCACGAATTCTATGACACATATTTGGCAATATTGAGTGAGGAGAGAAACTTGGAAGTGTTGCTGAGGTTTTCACCTAACAATTTGGGAAATTACTTATCAGATTTGTTCCACGGGACGGTGGTTCCCAAAATTTCATCCCCATCACCATCCCATGTATCACGATGTCTTCCCTAATGCCATTATGAACTGATAAATACCTATTTATATCAACTTATTTCCTTCATAAAATTTTCTGTATCAAGTGTACTTTTTCACGTTTTAGAATTCAACATATTTGTCCTGTAAAAGGGTAAACAATCTATACAGAAAAACCTAAATTACAGAGCGTTTTTGTCAATCAAGTGCTCAGAGTTAGATCCGAAAGCATTAGTTTATAAATTACACGATGAAATTTCAGCAAGGACTACATTCTGCACAAATAGCATTTGGCAAACAGGAGGTAAAATTATGCAAATTATAGAATTAAACTACTATAAAGTTAATTGTACAAAGTTACGAAGCAAAAAGCCCCAGGAAGCAGGATTTATAACAGAGGAAATGAATCAGAATGCAGATAATGTGAAAGAAACAAGAATAATTTAACATTTACTGAAACCATTATATTCAAACATCAAGCGTTATAACATCTAAATATTCAATACAGAAAATGTTGATATTTTGTGTTCAATAAAATTTGACAAAGATTTTTAATAAGCTTATGCAGTTGATATGCAGAAATATCAACTGCATAAATATTTTAAGTTAAAATTGCTGTCGAAGAAGAGATATACATATATGAGAACTGGAAGTTGCCACAGCAAGTCATGTACTACTGCCAACTTGTTCTGCTGGCCTAGGTATAGATTGCCAACCTGCACAGATTCGAAGAACAGACTTGAGAGAATCTGATGCTAGTTCTAGTGTCCATGTAGGGTAAAAATCACTTGGATGGAAAATGGATTCTTCCTTTCCAATATTTCGTATACTTGCTTGAGCTCCATTCAGGAATAAATCTCCTTCGGATATAATTGAACCAGATTTTGTCTCATCTTTATCAGCAGCCTAAATGATAAAGACAGAACATGAAGTTGATAACCAAAGATTTATGAGAGAATGGAAATGAAAAAAGATGATAAATAAGCAAGAAAGAAATAGAATGTGACCATGGTCCAAAATTCAGTTTAGCTAACAAAATTCTCATTTGAACTGCTTAATTTCATTTCTATCCCTTAACTTCTTTCCAGTATATAAGAATTTTAACCTTAGGTCATGTTTGATAGGCATTATTTGCCTTGGAAGTGGGAAAAAGAATTCCATTTTCCACAAAATAAAGTGTTTGATAGACAATAATTTGCCACCCAATTCTTTTCCTACCTAGAAGCCACGCGCCTCCTTTTCCTTGAAATAGGTGAAATGATTTTCCCACCTTTTTGGTGGGAAAATCATTTTCCAGGCTGCTGAAATTTATTTATTTATTTTTTTTTTTTTTGGCAATAGAAACAAATTTCATAACCAATTGTAAAAAAAAATTTCACTTTAATGGACAATTTTCATATAAAACAAATCTAAACGAACACTAAACTTTGATTAAAAAAATGATTTTTTAGGAAATTTTTTTTTTTTTTTAATTTTTTGACAATGGAAACAAATTTTATAACTAATTGTGAAAAAAATTATCACTTTAATAGACAATTTTCATATAAAACAAAGTCAAACGAATACATATTTTCTAGGCAAATCTTTTCCCAGTAAAACATTTTCTTTCCACCCTTCCAATCAAACGCACCCTTAAAAATTTCGGGGGTCAAAAAAGCACCATTATGTTTAAAAAAAGGAAACTACAAAATCAAATTAGGGAGATTAGAGAAAGTAAAAAAATTTAAGTGCAATCGCTACATGTCTATATAACATCACTTCATTTCAAAGTAGACTGGTTAGCACAAGGTGAAGATTTAATTTAGACCGAATGCTCACATTAAATAATATACTAGCTTTCAATTTCTCAAATAACAAAATTACAATGAAGTGGCTCATAAAGGCATGACACTACATAGCGTATAAAAGGATTTTCCAAAATATTTACTTGGTCCTATCTACAATTGATACAACTGGTATGGGTGGTCCAATAGAATATTTTGATAGTAAGGATGAGGTTTTGAGCATTGTATTGTGTCCCCTTTTGCATTCAAAACTTTAATAGACAAAATTACCAATAACACAGTGGATGAATAACTTAAGGAGTTGCCACTTATACCCCACATTCCCAATTAGTAGAATTGTATCCTTTCGGGATCCTTTTGAGCTACTGTGATGCAATTTTTTCTTTTTGCAGGCCAGTCTACTGTGTTAGTGCATTATTCTCCTCATTTTGTAGATTATGTTGCACTTTTTATGGATGAGTTGCACGGATTATTGCTATTTGGAGTTTACTATCGATATCTGGTCCAAAGGAAAGATAGTCCCCTTGGTGAGATGAAGTTATTAAGGATAGGTTGGACATTCGATTATCGTTATATGGTTAGGAAGAAGGATCGCCCTCAATGGATAAGAAGTTGTGGTCTATCACGCTGTAGTCGAGTTCTCTCAGCCGGAGAAAAAATTATGGAGATCATATTAGATATATTATATTGAAAACTTCCCAATTTATATACTTGTTTTAGGAAAAGTAGTTAGAATTTTATTTTTTAGACTTTCTAGTATTTTATCGGTTATTTCCTACTTAAATTAAATTAGTTTAAACTCTATATAATAGAAGTTTATGCATTGTAATAATTAGACTTTGATATTGAATAAACTAATATTGTCTCCTAAACTCTCTCTATTCTCTCCCTCTCCCTCTCCCTCTTCTTTTTCTCTTCTCTGTTCTTCTCTCTTTCTCAGTCTCGTTCTTGTTCAAATGTGTTCTACATCACACATATCTATTCTAGGCAATTGAAAATCGCATATTGTAACAAGCGTCAAATGCTTATGCATGAGAAGGAGATGACATATGTAACTTAAACTAATGTCCTTAACAAGGAAAAGAGAAACAGATTTTCACAATATCTGTTTTACAGCATCTAAGATGCCAAAATAATTCAGTCACTGTCGCATCTGATTCATGGAAACAGGAACTTGAAAGACAAAATTTGTCCTTAGAAAAGTGATAATTGGAGAGGAATATTTTGTCAAGATAGCATTATTCATGAACATTACTTAGTCAGGGAATGCTCCTGTGTTCCCGTCACTTGAAAGAGAGAGAAATAAGTCTTGGAAAAGTCAGAATTTGCAAGGATACAGTTCGTCAAGGACATTACTTATTAAGCCTCTATTTGACAACCATTATTTCAAAACCCTTTTTTCTCAATTCATTTTCAACCACTCATTCACACAATAAAATATTTTGCATGTAAACCCAAAACGTTTTCCTACTTTTTTTTAACCACTCATTTCCAAAAAAAATAATAATAATAAATCACTGTTCCAAAACTCATTTTTCCCCCAAAAAAAAACTCTTTTTAATGGTTGTCAAACAGTGGCTAAGAAAATGCTCCTGTTCCTATTCCGATTCTTATGAGCTCAACAAAATACACGATTCTTTAAATTATAAAATTATAAAAGCAAATTGAACTTGATATGATTTCAAGTTACCTTCTCAGTATAGTATTCGAAAGTTTTTTTCTTCTGTCCTGCTTCATAGATGTTGCATTGAGAATATACCTGGTAGCATAGAAGACCCAAAAAAGTAAGAAAACACAAACTAGGATTCTAAGCTACTGTAGACAAACTGAAAAGTAATTTAGTTATATGATTGTTTCTGTGCATGAAATAACAATAGAATACCTGTGACTCTACGCTAGCACAAACAGCATATATGCCCCAACCTCTGGTGTAATTGTTGTATAAATGAACTTTTCCAAATCTAACACGAGGTTGTCGTTGCCGTGTTCCATCAAACAAACAGTGATGAATTGTCACTCTAATGCATCTATCACCAATATGAGAGGGGTCAGCTCCAATAAGCATAGTCTTATCATGTCGTGTGAAGTAACATCTGCAAAGAAGAAGTCATCAGGATCCTATGATACATAAAAGTAATTTAAAGTACAGAGCTTATGATGATAAAATTACCTAGAGATTGTAATATCAGTGCTTTGCCTTGTTATGTCAATAAGTCCGTCATCATAATCACATAAGCTGCAGCGGTCTATCCATATATGCCTAGAATTTGGTTTAATTTGGATGCCATCAACATCGTGCCCTCTACCACCTTCAAACTCCAGGTTGCATATAATAATATGTTCACATTCCTTCAGCCTCAAACCTTTACCAGTGATTTTTATGCGTTGGCCACGACCATCGACTGTCTTATAAGAAGACAAACTTAAGTAGGAAGAAAGATGAATCATACCAGAGACTTCAAAAACAATCCAAAGGGGTTCTTTTCTACGACATCCATCGCGAAGTGATCCTGGACCATCATCTAATAGAAGGAAAGTGTTCAGTGTGTCAAACTCAAGTAGGCTATAATCAAAAGTGATTGATAAATGATAATGTCAACCTACTAATTTAGCATAAGTTTTGCTCATGTGTATAAATTGTTTATAAACATTCAAGTTACTTTTTATTCACACATTTCGAGAGAACCAAAAGTAGAATCCACTTATTCGCTCACTCATTTCTATCTATTTATAATTTAAATTGTTTATACACACTTCCCAAACATGCTTTTACATGCCTTTTTGTCACCAAATCAAGGTGTTTATTAGTGAGTTTTGAAATCAAATGGGGAAAATGTAGTCTACATCATGCACGTTTCCTTTCTTCTTGTGCGACGCAAGGTATTGCCACCACTTTGCTCAAAACCTATAGCTCATCGCACAAATGCAATCCACTCTATACCACCCAGAATCATGCTCGGGAATCCATCCCTGTTTCAAGCAAGCTCGTGCATTATTGTGTAACTAAGCATGCTTTTGGGTACAATGACTTTTTGAGCCATCTCATTCAAAAGCTGATGACAAATTCATTTATTTAAATTTAGCCTTTACCATGCCCTTGGCAGGAAGCCTAATTCAATTTTTTATCGAAGATCTTGACGCATGGACAAGTTTTGGCACCATGCCATGTCAAACCACTCCAACTAAAAGCTTAAATTTTCTATTGAGAAGGGAACTTTTTTATTTAAATTTAGATACAATCGACTTTTGAAAACAAAACTTAGCCATCATGTGGTGTAAACAGCCCCTTAAGAAAACAGATCAAAAAATGGGTTCTACCCGGTAATGTCAACTTTTGTATAAAATAAAAATTTCTATCCCGTAAAAGCAACAATTTTACAAATAATTTACTATTACAAACGTAATTAACAATCCTACACGAAAATTGCAACTATATTTTTCGGAATCGTAAATCTAAAACACGACTTTTAACAGCAGAAGAAATAATATAGTACTGAGAATACAAGGAAATCACCGGCCAAGTTAGTGACGTGATAAACCGGTCCATGAAGACCGCCGACGGAGAACCGGCCGAAACCCTCAGCCTGACCGGCTAATGCTCTGAGATGTGAATCGACGTCAGTGTACGGCAATGACGCCATGCCCTTTTTTTCTTTGGGGGTCTGAGAAATCGTTAAGGCCGTTAGAGCTCAGCACGGGCGTTGAAATGGTAGAAAGCAGTAACTACAGCCGTTAAAATGAAGAGATTTTGACGGAGAAATTAACTCTTCATATTGCATAGGATAACTACACTGTTATTGCTGTGACTGGAAGTTGATCCTTAATCTTTAAAAATGAGCAAAATAATCTCCAACATTTAAATATATGGGCTATGCTAGAATACCAGAAGAATTCTGCCAGAAGTCTACCAGATACTCACAAAGCCTTTAAATAATATAAAATTGATTTCTATAAAAGTACTATCTTACCCTTTCTGTCTTTATTTACAAATTTTACCCGATATCTTTATAATTCTTTTATTTGGGCCATAAGTTCTTACAGTTAATCCTGGGATTCTTAACTTTTAATATCTTCTCTTTCTTTTTGATTAATTAAT